AGTGTTATACAAACTTGAGAGAGAAAACAGGATGCTATGTAAATGATCATTGAAGGGCCATATGTTTTGTGGCCTGGCCCTGTGAGCCTTTCCCTAGCCCACTCCCAATTTCAAGAATGATTTCCCCTTCTTAACAAACTGTCCTTATTTCTATTTTTTTAAATATATTATTATTATTTTTATTTGCGTGTATGAGTATATTTACATGTTTGTGAGTACATCCGTGTCATACAGTGCCGCAGAGGTCAGAAGAGGGTGTCGGGTTCCCCTGGAGCTGGAGTTAAGGATGGTTGATAGCTGCCATGTGGGTGCTGGGAATCGAACCTGGGTCCTCTGCTAGAGCAGTCAGCGCTCTTAACTGCTGAGCCATCTCTCCAGCCCCCGTATTTCTATTTTTAACCACATGTTCCAGGTCCAATCCTGTGTCTTGGAACACAAGAACCTGAGAACTTCAGCAGGTGTCCCTGGGACTCGTATCTGCACTTAGAGAAATGGCTTTCTCCTTTGCCCTTGAGGGTTAAGTCTCTGCCCAATGATTGGCTGTGTCCCTACTCCTTTTCCCATTTCTGACTGCTTCATCCATTGCTACTTCTAAAACAGTAGGAACAAAGTCTTAGAAGAACCTCTCAGACCAGCACAGCAGTGGGCATCACACTGCTGCCTCTAGATGCTCCCCTGCTCCCTAGGAACTTGGGGATGATGGAAAAGGGTTTCTAGAGCACAGAGGAATGAAAATCAGGGAAGTAGGGTTGAGCCCATTCCTGAGAAGTCCTTACAGCATCCTACCACGGCTAGACCAGATAGCCCAGCTGCAGGGTTCACAGCTGAATCCTTGAGAACTGCATACCTCAAGTTACAAGCCAACCTGAGCAGGAGGAAACTGAGGAGCACCCTGTAAGTACAGCCAGCCCACGTTTCCCCACCCTGTGGTACTTGGAGATCCCTGAAAGCTGTAGCCAGAGTCCAGGAGGCTGCAGAGAAAGGGCTTTGCAAGCATGGAGGGAGTCATAGTTTACAGTGACTTTGTTGCTTAGGGGAGCTAACTTACTGTGCCTAGGGCAAAGCTGCACTTTACAATCTATGGGATGTCAGCCTTGAGAGATCTTCCCTAGAGCACTCTGGATAGGTGGGTATGGCCAGGCAGAGTCACCACCATAGTTCTCTGTCTATGCTATGTTCTGTGTGCTGTTTGGTGTGTCCTGTTTGGGGTGCTGTGAACATGACCTCACATGATCCCGCCCCAAAATTCTGGACATAATAATCCCAATATTGCTGGTGGAAGAAGTAAATTTGAGCACAGCTAACTCAAATCATCTCCCACACAGCCAGATCAGCAAGTAGCAAAACCATAAGAACCCAGTTCTGTTGAACTCCCCTAAATACAGAATTTGGTTCCATCACAAGAGCCTCTTGACATCACCTGCCACTTATCACTGGGTTTTCTAAACTCCACCCCCCCACACACATATACATACCAGCCATCCTCACCACCAACATGGTAGGAGAGGCAGAGGAGGGGACATCTAGGGAAGAAGTCATCTGCAAAGTCATCAGCTCCCACGACAAAGGAGAACCCAGCAGTTCCCTCAGGGGACCTTCCTCTAAAGCATCCAGCTGCCTACTCTCTGGTGTCATCATGTAATTTCGGAAAATGTGAACACAGGTGCTGCCTTGGGGTCAGGCCACCTGCAGAGGAGCTATACCCTCTCCATAGCAATAACAACTGGATTTGCTGTTTTGTGTTCCAACCTACCCCAGAGCAGTTTGCTATGAACATTTTGACAAGATAGACCCGGACACACCTGGGTTCTGTTTCTGCAACTACAGACCCACCATCCCACACAAACCTAGCTCCACCGGTGTGGCGATGTGCCTCTCTGCTGCTCCTCTAGGCTGTGCTCAGAAGGCACCTGCCTCATCTAACTTCTTCTGGGACCTATTTTTTACTTCTGTGTCTCCTGGGAAAGAGGCTCCTGTGCCTGTGCTTGATGGCAGGGTCCCTCCCTCCCCCACTTGCACTCAGCATAACTGTGCAGCTGTGGGCTACTCTGCAAAAGTAGCATCTCCTGGGCTCCTTTTCTGTCTCAAGTCAGCAGAGCAAAGACGAGCGAGATGAAGTCGTGGAACTGCTTAAGCGCAGTGATGCTCCACCCTCTGAGGGCTAGTGAGCATTCTTCTGATACCGTTCATAACTGGGTTTGTAGTGAGAAACAAGTGCTGTGCTTTCAGAAGGCAAGTTCAGTTATAGTGGGAAAAAGAAATGTACAATAAGAATAAGAATGGGATGGGGGCTGGAGAGATGGCTCAATGGTTAAGAGCACTGACTGCTCTTGCAGAGGACCCAGGTTCGATTCCCAACACCGAGACGGCAGCTATGAACCGTCCTTTACTCCAGTTCCAGGGGAATCTGAGGCCCTTTTCTGACCTCCGCAGCACTGAACGGCACGGGTGCACACACAAACATGCAGGCAATACACTCATACACATAAAAATAAAATAATAAATAATTTTTTTTTAAAAAAGAGCATTGTGTGCATCAGATACAATTCCTGATTTAGTTCAACTGCAGGAGAGCTGTCATTTTTAGAGCAGGACATTTTACTTGATAATATTATAAAAATCATCTCAGATTCCTTTTAATAAGTAGATCTAATAAGCCAATATGCCCTCTTGTTTTTCTTTATATCTTCTTTAAGGAGATGAAAAGAAGAGGGGTCAAGATAAAGGGAGGCACAGGACATTGATATAGTTTGAGGACATCTTTCAGGACTACAATCTATACTTGGGGACTCACAGAGTTGGGTACATAATCACAGCCCTGACTAGCAGTGGGGTTCTTTTGTGATTCTAAAGGAGTTAAACATTGACAGTTTCTGGAGTAGCAAAGGGCAGTAAAGTTGGAAAGATAATTATAATTCCTATTTATATTATTCTGTGTTCCTGATAAGTCAACTCTGAAAACGAGGCTTCCAATGATTTAAGATTGTCTCTTAGTTTCCTATGCAAAGATGTAGAATTGAGTAAAGTGTCTGGTTATAAACTCAGAATCTAACTTGGTTCTTATGCCTCTATCTATTTCCCAGTTCCCTCATTTGTAAAGTGACATGGTGGTTCTATCTAGTTGGTGAGATCATATATAGAAGGGCTTATATGACCTAAGATGATAGTCATCCAATAAATGCATGATCATGAATCTCTCAAGTGTCTCAAAGCTGTTTGCATATTTCTAATTGATTTTTGTAAGATGATAGGTCTGAGTAGGTATATTTTATATGCCTATTAGTTATTTTAAGTCATTGGCTGTTCTTGCAGAAGACCCGAGTTCAAATCCCAGCACCCACATGGCAGCTAACAACTGTCCGTAACTACAGTCCCAGGGGATCTGACAGCTTCTTCTGATCCTTGCAGGCATTGCACGACACAGATGCAGTTACCTACATGCAGGCAATACACTCATACACATAAAATAAA